TTGATGACTTAACTTAAAAACGAAGTTATACAACTTTCGTTACGTCATGTATTCTGCTGTCTTGTGTTTTGTTTACAAAACTTTATTTTGTTCATCTGAACACCATGTGTCGTATTCCTTTCTACTGTTTTAGAAAACATATTTTCTATAGTTAAGTAAAATATTGCATTATCTTTCTAGTTAAACTTGGTTTCTTCCCAAAATTTTGTACCCTGTATTTGTACAAGAATACTTTTCTAATTATCTTACAAATAATCGATTCCCTTCAAATGTCAATAATTTAACAACTTATATCATTCTTGGCCTATGTTATTCTCGAACTTCCTGTCAATTACTCCTTGTCCTTACGGTAAAAGTATGTTCAGAGGTTTTTAAATTTATGTTTTGTGTTGTTCACTTTGTAGCCAGTTGAGAAAAATTCGAAGAAATAACAAAAATTGAGATTTCATTATCCAGGTTTATTGATGGGAAGAATCATCTGAATTTTTTAATTATTGGAAATAACATTTACAAGGCGGGGAAAGTACTTCAACAGATGACATTTGATGTTCAAAATTTGTCTATTAAATTTGAAAACGGTTTCTAGTTAGTAGAAATGCCGAACTGATTAGCGTATTGATGGTAAGAAGGTATCTATAATTTTCAAAGCAGTAATGATAAATAACCCATATTTTTTTATAGATTAACACTAAAGTTTCACGCAAAGACGACAGATTTGCTTTTATTTAATGTGCAAAACTAATTTATAGACTGAAGTTATGTATGAACAAAGAAAGAAAAATATTCGTGCAGAATAATATGGATCTATTGCAATCAGTCTGTCGTCGCCTCTCCTCTATGGACAGTCGATAATATTTAATGGAAAAAATTATAATACAATAAACTTAACAAACTTCTGTTTACCAAGAGAAATCAATCCTTCAGTAAAGATTATCGTAAGAATGTCACGGCTAAACAGAAAATAAGACTGGTAAGTTATCTCAAACTATATATATGCCTTAAAAGGGCGAAGTTCCTCATAAAAAAAAACAAATTTGTTGTTAGGGTTGGTAACATACAAAATAAGCTTGATGACTCTGTAACAACGGTGTAACCAGGCCCAACAGAATATAACGAATAGAACTCACAGCATCAAGAAGTCGGAATCTGGCCATTGGACTTCGGTTACTATGGTAACCTCCTCTTTATTAGGTGTTTTTTCAGCTTCCATATTAGACTTAGTTTTTCATTCTTGGAGTTCTGTTTACTGTATTGCACCACCGTCGTTCCATTAAACTTTAAATTCTCGTTCTTATAAAGTTGACTACTCTGTATTTTATTATACCTGGTTGGGCATCTTTAATATTGCCACCCCCAGTAACAAACTTATTCGTCTCCTATTCTCTAAGAGAAGCTCTATTCTTATAAGGGTAACTCTTAACTATAGCGAACCAAGTCATGAACTTGATCAACCTAATCAGGTTGGCCAATGGTGAATACGTGTAATTTGGAAAAGAACTTTTATAGACACCAAATTTAGTGTTATGTGCATCGGTGGCACAGCGGTAGAATGCTCGCCAACCATGCATGCGGTCCGGGGTTCAATTCCCGGCCGACGCACCCCTTTACCTCACCAAGGCTGACGGTATTGATGTTCACGGATAGTACGGAGTATACTGACGCAAGATCTAATACCCACAACTTCTATAGTATTCGTTCCGCGTAGACCAAAGGCACAGCAAAAGAACAGAATTGATCGTCCAAATTACGAGATACATTTCGAGACCAAATCGGAGTGCGGGATGCTTGCTTAGCTGGCTAGTGATCGTGCACGAACGTGACACGACGGAGTACTAAATGGTGTGGATTCTTGACCGGAAGCCTTCAGCTAAACAAGTCGACTTTAACAGTGAGGGTCAGCACCCAATGTTCAGTGATGATTGCTGTGGTCAATAATTTTGGGGAATTATTTACCGCTACACCAGTAATAAGACCGATAAAGAGGGAAGGTTAGGCATGAGGCTAGCAATCCCATCCCGTGAAAATAAATATCACTAATACAGAAACTTCAAGCCTCTAACTTGGAGCCCTATGTTCCACTGGGAACATAAAGGATTAAAAAAGTTAGTGTTAAAAAACAGTTGTGCGGGATAAATTTCTCGTATGTCTCCCAAGCAAATCTCCTAATTTCTTACTACAGTCTTCAGTGATGTTCTAAACCTATTTCTATACATAAATTCATCTAAATAACTATATATCAGGCTGTTTCGTGATCCCTCTACTGCTCTACAGAACCCATCAACCTAAAACAGGAACGACATTTCTTCCCGGAAAGATATTCTATAACCACAGCCTGGACATCTGTACACATATCCATCAGCAGTGGCTACATACCTGTGTAAAGACATTACTCCTCCGCATCTACAAGCTTCCTTTAAGCCTATTATCCTGACAATACTCAAATACTACCTCTTGATCGAATTTGCAGTGTAATTCGTGTACAGCATCTATGTTTCCGCGTACTATGGGCTCACCTGGTTGGTTGATCAAGGTCACTATCACGTCCGTCCACTTGGGTTAGCGTATTTCAGAGTTGTTACTAGTATAAGGTGTATGCATATATATTGTAATACTTTATTATGTCTTATCATCCTTATGTTTCACTTAACTGTGACATTCTTACAACAATAATTACTGGAGGACTGATTCCCATTGATGGACAAAAGTATGTTAAAATTATCGTATTATAACTTTTCAGTAAGTTTTACAGATAGTATGCAGCTAAAGAGCACCTACGGAGTACATTGGATCATATCATTCTGTACTAATGTTTGTTCATCGTGTATTTACATTTATAAAACGGGGATTTGTGTTTGAAGTTTCTAAGTTACGTCGTTACTGAAAAACTACATAACATAAATAGTCTCAATCTTTATAGTACTCATTGTCAAAAGTGTGTGTGTGTACTGACAGTAAGTGATACTTTATCTGTTCTGCCAGTTGCCACGAGGTCATTTTGATTAAAATTTGTGGAAGTTATTTTGTTCTGACATAAATGTTAACTACTGTAGAAGCTTTTGTAGGGAAGCAGGTCCGCATAAGACCCACAGCCTATAGATGTAATAGTATTTGGCAGTGATCTTCATTTTATTTTAGTGAATTTGTCAAGCTAAAGGCACTCAGTCAAAAATTCTCACCGACTGGCGCACTGCCATGCTACATTCTTCTGATTATTCACCGTTTCTAGTTTTTAAGCACACATCTCAATTTTTTGGTATTAATTCGAAAATATACATTCTGTTTCGGATGACCAGGTTGTCATTCTCGCTTTCTCATTGATGAATGCTTTTCCTCTGAGGTCACATCAATTCAGTTAGGTTGAAGCATACCAGCCAGATATTATAAGCACTCCCATAGCATCCTACCACATCGAAATGGTGAGCGCTTTGAAATAATTAACTTTTCCTGCTTTGTGTTATTCATATCTAGTTTGTGGTAATGCTTTTCAACACAATTATTGTATATATCTAGACGCCGAAGCATTAGATCACTCAAGGCTTTAAGAATAAAGCCCGTTCCATTTTGTTCCGAAATTCCAGAAACATGGTTGCCGTCTGCTAAATCAGGTATCCACAGTCATAATATCGATGACACACATTCCTATCAATACATATTTTCAACCATCTTAAGCCGAGCGTTCTGAATGAAAGCTTCAATGTAACAGCAACTTAAAATGTCTACACACATGCATCAACTCATAGGTAAAAGATGATTCAACGAAAGCCTCCTCAGGTAACGTTTTCTTCAAGTCGTCACACCTAGTGCAAACTGCCGCTACAAGAGACTTGGTTATTTCTATTAACAGAACAGATACCTAGGAAATATGCTTCGTGAATATGGATAACAGATGCAAAGTCAAGAGGATCTCAGTTTGAATTAAGGGAGTTCAATAGATCCATTAAGCAAATTCCCGGAGCCAAAAACCTTAGTATCAAGTCTACGTATCATCGCAACTATTCTCAGTTACAGCTCTCTTGGACGTACAAAGTCGAAAGCTATACAAGGCTAAGGATCATGACATGTGTTGTTAACATAATATATGTGGACAGGATACAAAAATCACAGTAAACCTCGCAGCATCAAGAAACTACTCTATATTCTTACATTATTTAACTGAAGTGTTCACAAAGGCTCGCTATCCCGTCGAAACTACCGCGGAAAATAGTATTTTTGCGATTGAATTTAATGACAGTTGTAATGATTTAGTACTGTGCCGACCAGCAGCTGACAGGAAATCAGGTGCAACTTTTGGACAATACTCTTATCTGCATGTTGATTATTGCGAACTTATTAAGTTTCTTTTCTCAGTCTTACATCATGGTGCTCGTCGCAGCTACTGATTTACTGAACCACTACAACTCATTCATGCATACTTCTCGACTAAAAGCAGCAAACTTTATATTCGGGGAACAATCTGCATGCGTTAGCGCCTAGCTCAAATTATAACTAGAAAAGTAGCCAGAAATTCCAACCGATCTTGAAAACGTGAGTGGAAATATACTTCTAATTGGGTGGTTCGCTCAACATCAAACTTCAGCCAGATGGAAGTCTGTAAGTGAGAAGCAAAAACGACTTTTTTACGATAGTTTGATACTCACCTATTACATTTACTGGCTTGCATAGTTTTGCAGAATATTCAAACACGCACCAATGAGTTGTATTGTGGTCAGCGTATATCTTACAGAAGTAAGAGGTATCCCATTCATTCTACTTTAAAGTAGTACTCGGTTAATGAAAAGGAACTTCTCCAGCCTAAGCATACTTCACTTGCTAATAAAATTATTAAGTTGTACATTAATGTTAAGTAATTAACAACTAATAAGTCGCTGAACACTTAAACAACAAGAAGGTATATATATATATATATGCAAGTAAATATACATATATACGTTACTTATTATTATTATTCAAAAGCTAATACAAAATTTTACTTCTTCAGAATTTTCCCAAAAAACGCTTTTGTGATATTTTATTGTGTATAAAACCATTATTGTTCTCATTTTAAACACTGATTGGTTCATGAAGTCCTTTGAAAGGAATATAATAAATAGGGTCAGAACATTCATTTATATTTTAAAAAATTATCTTTATATTTTCTGTCAATCATCTGTGTCACAAACTGTTTCTGAACCAAACTTTTGACATGACGTTCCAAATCTCTAACAATAACGGAAAGCAAACTGTAAACCCAAATCCATACCAGTAACAACCGATTTTCCAGCTTCTGATGATGAAGTGGGCTGTCAGTATAGTGCCAGAGAAGTGACAAGAAATGGCTGTGGATAGTTAGTGATATTAGTAACTTACATATGATATTTTGTATGTTTTTGAACATCGTAGCACCACTCAAAAACCCACATAGTTCTAACATCACAAATATAACAGAAAGAGAGAAAGAGATTATATATCTGCAATAATTCAATTCATTCACACTTACTCGAAATACTCATCCGCCAATTGGCTATACAACAACCCGTACCGTAGTGACTTTCTACCCTGAGAAAAGTTCAGATTATTATTTAACACTAACATCACTTAAAATGCAACAGAAGCAAAGCATCAGATGTGACAATAGGACTAAAAATCTTGTCGGGACAAGAAAACTGGAATATCCATTCATTTGAGCGTCACTTTTGAAACGTTTGTTTGATTTTGTTACTGTTTCCTACGTAAATAAACAAGTTCAATATGCGAAATCTTAATGGCTGCTTTTCATGATATTTTGGAGATTACCGCTAGTTATTTTAATAAACAACGACATATTGACAACTGCAGGATCTAATAAAAGGTCAGGAGTATCCAATATCCAATATCCTGATTACGAGCTAGTATAAACCAGTGATTTCTTTGAGCTCGCTTCTTGATTGTAAGGTAGAGGTTCCAGATCTTCGGTGAACTTATGCGTAGTAAATCCCGCCACTCGACTGCTTTAGCTCTGGTAGACTCCAGGAGGAGTGATGCGAGGATTGGTCAAGATTGTGGTTTGTAGTGTGCAGTATGTTAGGACTCAGCTGCTGCCGTGAATGGAGTTTGACCTAACACCCGTCGGTCATTCGGTATAGTCATAAAAGTAGAGTAATAATAATAATAATGATAATGATAATAATAGGTTGTAGTGTAGATAATATAGGTTGAGATAAGTGAAATATTAAAGAAAGAAAGATAGAGTAGTCGGTACAGTGGGAGAAGACAGGACGGGTCGTGAAGATTTAGCTTGTATGCTTATCCATTGACAATGTGGTTTCAAATTTTAAGAGGGTAAGCCATTGAGACACAAACCATGCATTTCTGCATGATTGTCCAGCTTCCGCTTAAAAATCTCCACAGATGGAGCTGTAGTTACGGCCGCCGGTAAAGCGTTCCAGAGACGGCAAACTCGAAGCGAGAAGAAATGTGAACGCACTCGAGTCCTTGGCCTCTGGTGTGCTATCCTTAGCGGGTTACCTCGTGGAAGCCTATAATCACTTAATCGCAGGATGCTCTTGTTAGGATGGGCCCGGTCATTTAGGATCTTATAGACGGTGATGAGGTCTCCCCTGTGACTACGGTAACTAAGTGTGAAAAGACTTAATTTCTTCAGTCTCTCCTCATATGATTTGTTGCGGAGGCCGATCACCCATTTTGTCGCTCGTCTCTGGACACTTTCTAGCATGTTAGCATCCCTTTTGAGTAGCGGAGGATCAATGATATTATGCACCTCAAGGAGTGGCCTCACGTATGTCGTATACAACGTTAGGAATAGTTCAGGAGTAAGAGCTCCCAGTTGCCTATGCATAAAGTGTAAAGTGCCGTAAGCTTTGGCGACGTCCCTCGTGTAATTTACACTGGTGTCTAGCTTTTCTGTTAAAATAAGGCCTAGATCGCGTTCTGATGGCACACAACTCAAGTTCTGGCCACCAAGGGTGTAATTTGCACTCTGTGACCTGCCGGAATGAAGTTGCACTACTTTGCACTTCTTTAAGTTGAAAGGCATTCCGTTAGCCAGAGCCCAGTCCCCCAGCGTTTGCAGGTCAGCCTGCAATCTGTCGGAGTCTTCCGATGAGTTTATTGCTCTCCAAATCTTTACGTCGTCAGCGTAAAGAAGCGCAGAGCAATTCAGTTGACAGGGCAGGTCATTGATAAAAATCAAAAACATCAACGGCGCTAAGATAGAACCCTGAGGAACCCCTGATGCCGAGGTGTGCCAGGATGATCGGATGCGGTTGACTTTGGTGCAGAATTCTCTCTCGCCTAAATAATCTTCTAGCCATGCGAGAAGTGCTCCAGAAACACCCGCTTTGCTTATTTTGTGAAGGAGCAGACCATGGTGAACTGTGTCGAATGCTTTCGCAAAGTCGAGAAAGATCACATGGACTGGTACCTTTACATCCCAGGATAGTGTCCAATCGTTCCAAGCTAGTAGAAGATTCGTCACACAGGATCTTCCCTTCCTGAAACCATGCTGTGCTTCATGGAGTAGGTTAGTCCCGTCGAAGTATTTTCTCATGTGGTCGTCAATGAGACTTTCCAATATCTTCGATATCACTGGGAGTAGCGCAACTGGTCTGTAACTGGTCGCGTTCTGCCGGTCACCACCCTTGAAGATAGGGGATAGGATGGCTCGTTTCCATTCACATGGAAGTTTCCCTACATCAAAGGAGTGTTGAAACAGATCACTTAGGGGTTGGCAGAGACTTTCTGAACACTGCTTCAGGACGGATGGTCTTATGTCGTCGCAACCTGCAGACTTTCCCGAAGCCAACTTTCCCAATTTTATGAGTACCATAGCCGGGGTAATTTGAAATGTACCCAGCAGGTTTTCGCACGTTGGTCTTGCATTGTAATCTTGATGTTTTGTGAGGGTAAAATCCTCGTTACTGTTCAGTTGCCTGTGAAAGGCTAGACTGAATGTCTCTGCCATTTCAAGACTAGTAAGAGATTTCCCATCAGAACCCACTATATTGCAAGCCCCCTGGTTGGTCGGTTTTCTTTCAGACATAAACCTGTATAGGCTTTTGGGGTTCACGAGAAGCTTATTGGCGAGGTTTCTCTGAAATGTCCTTCTATCACTCCGGACTCATATGTTACACCGATTCCTGAGTTCGAGGTACACTTCATGTTCGGGTTGACTCTGCGATACTCGCCACGCAAACCAGGCTTTTCGCTTCGCCTGTAGAAGGCGTTGTGTCCCCCTTTTTAGCCATGAACGTTGCTTTCTAGCTTTAGGTGTGACCAAAGGAACAGTGTCTGAGATCGCCTGGTGAATGATCTCCTTTACCAATCTCCAGTGTTCTTCTACTGTTAGCTCTGTCCAATTTTTTGGCCAATTTGCTTCAGACAAAAGTCTTCGCATTTCGGTGTAATTGGCTTTGTTATAACACAGATAGGGCTGTGTATTGTCCCACTGTAAACGCTCGCGGAGGACTATGTCGAATGTTATGACCGCATGGTCACTACTACCTATGGGAGTCGTGATCTGAACGTTTTCCACTAGTAGCTGGTCACTAGTGAGCACGTAATCCAGTCTAGAAGACTTCCCATCTGGGCCCCATCTAGTATCCATTCTGACATTTTCGGTGAATCCGGCCTCCGTGATGGTATGCAGCAGATTTCGATCAAATCTGTCCTGGGCACATCCCGTCATCAAGTTAAGAGATGGGGCATTGAAGTCTCCAGCTATGACAATTTGATCATAACCCAGGTCATGTGTCGCTGAAATTGCATTCAGCAGTACCTGGTTGTGGTCTGCTCCACATGAAGGTGATCTGTAAATGCTGCCCACTAGATACTTACAGTACCCAACGGTGAAATGGCACCATATGGAGTCAGGGAGCTCAATGAGGGGAGGGTCGATTGCATGGACACATCTGAGCTGTTTGTCGACGTATATGGCGACTCCACCTCCTTCTTTCAGATCCCTATCTCGCCTGACAAGGACCATATCATTTATACTGACTTCGCTGTCTGCCACCGTAGGGGTTAGCCAGGTTTCCGTCAGTATTATGATTTTGGAGTTCAGCTGTGATTGTAGGTATCTAAGTTCAGCTATTTTGCCTCTTAGACCTCTCACATTACTGTACAGGCAACTGGTAGTCAGTCTCACCACGTCCCCGTATTGGGGGGTGGTTGACGTGATGTGGGCTGTCGGTTGAGGAGTTATCCTACGAACTAGTTGGCCGATTCCCCGGGAACCGGCCTGTTGGAGTTTTTTTCTTCTGATTCAATCGGAGCACTTGGATGGCACTGGCTATCATCGTCCGTGCTGCACCGCTGTATTGTGACTAGGGGTTGGGGATGTTCTATGACAACGTTTTGCTCTCTCCTTTGGGTACGAGGCCGGCTCTCGCAGCAGCGAATGTGTCTGCTGACCTTGTCTTTGGTCTCGTACCATCTCTGGAGAGCAGTAGTCAAGTGGTCTCGGGAGCTAAACTTAACAGCTAACAGATGTGGGGTGTTAATTGACATTAGGTGAGTGGGTCGAGGCAGTCTAAAAATAGAGACAGCCCCTGAACTTCCCAGACCCTTCTTTGGTAGTTTCACGAGGTAACCTTTCCTCCAGTCAGTAGGCACCTTTCCCTCCTTCCAGACCTTTTGCGATAATGGAGTCAGCATATCTGCTGTCGTCTCTGGGTCCGCTTTCAGTGCTTCAAGGGGTTTTCCATCTGGTCCAGCTGCTTTACCAGCTTTCAGAAGCTTGATTGCATTCAAGACTTCAGCTTTCGTTGGAGGATCGGTGTCAACTTGCAGTTGTGTACGTGCTGTTGTTGGTATTTCTGGACGGGTTGCAGATGGTGGTCGGTTCAAGAGTCTTTTGAAGTGGTCCGCCTATTGTTTAATCTGTCTTTCTTCCTTGGAATTGGGTTTCCTTGGCTGTCTATTATAGGCTTCACTTGTGTTGATCTCTTCCCGGAAAGAGACTTGGTTATCTGACATAATGTCCTCAGGGCTCTTTTGCCCACTGCCTTCTCAGCTTCAGTGGCCAGACTGTCGTAGAATTGTCTTTTGTCCTTCCTAGCAATCTTCTTCAATTCTTTGTCCAGTGCTGTGTAAGTTGAACTCAGCGTCTCTCTCTCTCTTGTCCGTCTTTGCATTGAATCATTTTCTCTTTCACCATTCTTCTCTCCTCCATTAGCTTCCAAGTGTCCGTTGAGAGCCATTCCTTGTCTTGTCTCTTCCTTCTTCCTAAGACCGTTGAACACGTTTCGTTGAAAATCACCTTCAGAGAGTTCCAACGGTCTTCCACGGATGATTCCTCAGTGATGCCACGTGGTGTTTCCTGCTTTGCTCTGACAGTTGCAGTGCAAGTGTCCTTTGTGGTTGTGTCCTTCAGTTTTCGAGTATTGAACTTGCATTGTGGTTTATCTCCAGCTATCCTCGAGGCTTTTAGCTTCACCTTGAAAGTCCCTTGTATTAGATAGTGGTCTAAACCCACATCTGCGCCTCTCCTCGATCTTTTGTCCAGTAGGCTCCGTCTCCACTTCCTTGAGAATGAAATGAAGTCTATCTGGATTTTGGTGTGTCCATCTGGTGAAATCCATGTCGTCACCGATCACCGAATCATTGAAGGCGCAGATATCTGAGAAGAGTTCACCATTGTCGTTCATTTCACCGAGGGCTTCACGACTCATAGTGAGTTCTCTTCCTGTATTGTCTCCTCCCAGTTTCGCATTCATATCACCCACCAGGATTCTGATATCGCCATTTGGGACGTTGTCCATTACTGTTTGTAGTTGTCTGTAGAAGGCCTCCTTCTTCTCTTGTTCTGAGACGTTTGTAGGCGCACAGCATTGAATGATTGTAACCTTCCTTCCTTTTGAGT